CATTTTTTCTAATGAAAAGCATTAAGCTTATTACCATGAGTAAAATTTCTACTAAATAAATAAATAGTAACTTTTTGAGAAAAACATCAAAGTTAAGAATTAACTGATGATCTAAATTATTTATTTTTTTCCCAAATTATAGAAGCTGATTTATATCAGAATGTAGGAAAACGGTCAACCTCTCTGGCCCTGTTTCTGGGGCGGAGTGTGTGTGTGTGTGCGCGCGCGCGTGCACAAAATAAGGAAAATTTAGTGAGATTTTACTGAAGATTATTTTATCTAATTTAGAGCTGTGTTTTACTGGGAATATATTACTCTTGCTCCTCCCTTTTAAAAATGAATTTACTTCTAAAAACAAAATCGGCACCTCTGTAAGTTTCCCACAAATTTGAAAATGAGGAAATGGAGAAACTCTGCATACTTCTAGCTTTAACATTTTAATTCTATAAGGTGGACTCAAACGTATACATAGTTCAAGTGCTTCCAGAGACAACTACTTGACATCACAAAGCTTTCTCCCACTAGAGGATCTCTGCTCAGGACACGGTCATGTGATTTGGAGTTTTTAATGTGTTCTCACAATTTCCTTAAGTGGCTAAACCAGTTTTTGAAGTTGGTGCCACCTTTTGGTATATTGCTGAAACCACAGCAGGCTCCATCTACCCCACATTTAGTGTCTAAGGCATCTGACTGCTAACCAGAAGGCTGGTGGTTCAAACTTACTAGCCACTCCTCGGAAGGAAGGTTGGGCAATCTACTTCCATAGTGATACTGCCTTGGAAACCCAAGGAGGGATTGCTGTGAGTCAGATCTGACTAGATGGCAGTGAGGTTTTTTTTTTTTTGTGGTGCAGTGGTTAAATCATTCAGCCCTTAACTAATGATCAGGAGTTTGAACTCACCAGCTGCTCCATGGGAGAAATATGAAATAATCTGCTTCCCTAAAGATATACAGCCTTGGAAACGTTATGGGGCAGTTCCACCCTGCCTTACAGGGTCACTGTGAGTCAGAATTGACTCAATGGTAGTGGGTATGTTAGAATTTAACATTATAGATACAGACTAGCCAATATTAGTTATCAAATCAAAAGAAATGCTCACTTAAGTCAATACATTTAAGCTATGACAGTTCAGTAGAAATTTAAAAAACTCAGTTTTATGCACTCCTAACGCCTGTCCCTTCGGAAGGAAGGTTAGGCAATCCTACTTCCGTAGTGATACTGCCTCGGAAACCCAAGGAGGGGTTGCTATGAGTCGGGGCCGACTCGACGGCACATAACAACAACAACAACAACAACAACAACAACAATAACGCCTGTCCCTGTGTGGAGCAATGATGCAAACCATTAACACATGTGGCTGCTAACCAAAAAGGTTGGAGGTTTGAGACCAATCAGAGGTGCTTCAGAAGAAAGGCTTGGCAATCTAGTTCTAAAAAAAAAAAACCAGTCACCGACAACTCTGTGGAGCACAGCTCTGCTCTAACACACGGGTCACTATGTGTTAGAAGGGACTTGAAGGCAACTCTAGTCTGGCTTTTCCATTTGCTCCTCCATTTCACATACCTATGAAGCACTACAGACAACAGGGAGGTTAATAAACTGCACAGCCTACATGCTCACCCTGGACCATGGAACTGAATCGTTGACTCAAATTGTTCTCAGCCTCACTCACTGGTGATTCTGCTGCTTTGGCTTTCTGACTTTGCCTTGGCTGTTTCTGGGTGTTCTCTCACTCCTGCCATCTTGGGTTCTGGAATCCACACTGGACCTGCATGCCTGTTTGCACAATTTGTTTTGGAATTACCCTCTCATTTTAGGCAATGAAGCCCAGAATCATAGCAGTGGTTAAGTGATGTTAACCAGGTGTCCTCCTGAGTCCACCTTCTCAATCTCAACCACACCACCCTGGCTGCATGAAAGCCCTTAATTAAATAATTGGCATCTCAGCCTTCAGGGAGGAATGTGTAGTACTGCTCACCAGGAAAAGCCAGAACAGGGTCTCTGGCACTTGAATGATCGCAGGCAAGGCCATCTAGTCACCCAACTCACTCTAGCTGTTTATGAAAACCTACATTTTGCAAAGGGTAAGGACAAGTGTTGCAACTGAGTACTGCCACACCAGGGAACTGGACCTCTAACCATTTTCCAGCTGCAGAAGGTATGCAGTCCCAATATGTGGCCAATGTCGCCACCTGCTGGCTCCACAGCAAAGTACAGCTGGGATGAAATACCGAGACCATGTTCAGTGCCCCATTCTGTCCACGACTCAGGACATGCCTCGGTAATAAAGTGACTGTGTCTGAGCAGTTAGGTGTCACAGGCATTATGCTAAGTGCTTCAGTGGCCTTACCTTAAAGAAGTAACCACCAAGAGATAGGCACTGTATTATTATACCCATTTTACACACAAGGAAAAAAAGCAGCATAAAAATTATCTTATCCAAGGGCAAATCATATGTAGCAAAGATGGAACAGGAACATAGGTCTTTCCCTCCTCACCAGGATCACGTGTACCTCCCAAATTAAGCACCACAGCTCTAGGGCCCAGATCTTAAATTTCTAAAATATGGGCTGAGTGTAGTAGGCTGAATAATGCCCCCTTATCCACACTTATCTACACCCTAGTCCCTGCAACCTGTGAATGCTGCTTTATGAGATGAAGGACCCCGAGATGAGGAGGTTACCCTGGATTATGAGGGTGGGTCTTTAGAGGAGGGAGGGAAAGACAGGCAACGGAGAAAGGAGAAGTGAGGATGGAATAAGGG